CATTGGGCTCATCTCGGACGGTGATGAGTCTGCCTACAGGTGGGAGGTGGACCAGCTGGTGAACTGGTGCAGCAGCAACAACCTGGAGCTCAGTGCCCAGAAAACAGTGGAGATGATTGTGGACTTCAGAAAGGCCACAGCCTTTATGATTTCTTAAAATGCACAACTCTGACTATATTGTTTTTCTGGTCACTTTTATCACTGGATCTAACTGCACTACCCCAAAGATATTGTCTGTTTTAATTACTGTATTGAACTGGTGTACATATGTTTTTTAAAATATTTTTCCTTTATCCTTTGTTTTAGTTTTTTTCTTCATTTGTAATACCTATTGCACCTTTACACCAAAGCAAATTCCTAGTCTGTGAATCCTGTTCATTGACAATGGCAATAAAACTGATTCTGATTGTGAAAACACAATCAAAAATGTAAAACAATAGATTGAAAGAAACTGCAAGAGCAGTAATAACAGCCAACTGCCATTGACAATTGTAAGAGAAAAACGTTTCTAAAACAAATAATTTTTTAAGAACAAATGCATTTGTGCCTACCTGGTACAATAAATAAAAAACACCACAAAATGTCATCAGTGTGTTTCAGAACYAGTCTCCACCAGCTTCCATCATAGCTCTGCTGGGGAAGCCCTGAGCGTGCATGAAGGGCCCCTTGCATGCAGTTGCGCTAAACTACCAGTARGTGTCTCTAAATAATCACTGCACATCAGTTATGGTGAAATTCATTAACTATTTTTTTAACCTCTGTTACATAAGTCATAATTATAGAACACAATGTTGAAATGTTGATATAGTGGCTTATCTTATATGAGATGCTAAGCTAAAATTATGATATATTATTTCATAACTTCCTTTGTTTCTTCAGTGTACTTTTGTGTTGTTTTTATGAATGAAATAAATGAATGAATGAAATGTAAAAAAAGAAATGAAATAATCATAGGATGCTAAGTCATAACCATTATTTGCAAAATCATAAAAATGGTATGCTAAGGATGAGATGTTATGTGTAATATGTAGTTTGATTTAAAAGKTTTTTTTAAATGAGTTTCCATAAACCTCTCAGGGAAACTCGATAAAATGAAACAGAAAAAAGCCAGATGCTGCAGTGTACACCATTAAAGCTCTCCAGGCTCTGCTCCAACTTTCTAGGCTGAATATTGATGTTCTGGTCGGGCAGTCCATTAGGTGAACAATGAAAATGTAGGAYAGGTTGTTTTTAAAATCAGTGGAAATGTGTTGACATGCTTTACACACATAGTTGTAAAGTAACAAAGTACAATTTGTTACTGTGCTTAAAAAGAAATGTTGATTATCTGTAGCCTATATTTTACTTGAATAATTATTTTCAGTTGGCTTTTTACCTCTACGCCTTACATTTCTTAAAATTCGAAAGTTTTTTTCTCATTTTATTTTGTTTTCATTCTTGTTATTGTTAAAAAGATGAAACCATATCCAAATAAAATGCACCTCCTCCTGGATAGAGTGAATTTAACTGTGGCTGGATGAGAAGTATAAATAGGCWACATGCCTTTCTGACATTCTTCTAGTTTGTATGGGATCCATCACACCTGCACATGACAAAAAAGTCATGACATGACAAATCCCTTGACACTCCAAGAGGACAAAGTGGACATATGGCTAAAGAAGAGATACTTTATGCAGCTTAAATTTTCAACATTAGCATTTTAATATTTAAATATTATCATCATGACCTTTAGATAAATATTAACTAATTTATTTTTAATTTTTTGGCAGGTTATCTCCCAATAAATATTATTTTCAATATTTTACACATTTACTTTTACTCAATAATACAATGTACTTTTGATACTTAAGTAAATGTCAGATACTTTTAAAATTTTGCTCAAGTAATATTCTCAGAGAAGACTTTAATTTTTACCAACATAATTTTATGGTGAGATACCTGTATTTTTACTCAAATATCACTTTGAGGTACTTTGTACAACACTGCTTACACAATAAAAAATAAAAGGTTTTCACTACATAATAGCCAAAGAAAAAGCTAACCAAATAATAATATCTGGGGATATTTTTTATGAAAGTTGATTTGCAATATCCAGTAGGCTGTATATCAGCTAATAAAATTAGATTTTTCAAAATCAAACAAAGGGCATAAAAGTCAAAAACCGATTTATTGCGACGCTGTGGAAAATATCTGTCGTACAGCGACACCTAAAGGATTATTGGAGAACTGCAAGGAGCTGAAACGCTACCCATCTAGTTTAAAACGCATATTTWAAAATGATATAATTAGTTGAGTGCAAATAAAGGAGATCATAAAATAAAACAAAATTAATATTTCTTTAGTGATTGTAATGGCAATATTATCTTTATTGTGTTTCAAAGCTGCAGAGTTTGATATTCCTGATTTGGTCTTTTACTATAATGATCGTTTCTGTCACCCGTTCAGAGATGTGGAAATTGTTGAGAAGGGAAAAAAATGATCTGACTATTTTTTGCTAAGGGTTTCGGTTTTGGAATCGTTCATGAATTCGTGGAGCTTTTATGAAAACTCCCAACAGTCTTGAACAGCAGCTCATGGAGCGTCCGGCAGGTGGCGGTCTCGGTCCATCTGCTCCCTCAGCTGCACTGGATCCTTATTTCTAAGACTTTTTTTCCTCCTCCTCCCTGGTGGCTTCAAACCGTTATTCTCAGAACAGGTGAGCGTGTCCTTATAAAAGGACAAAGCAGTGTAAAGCACTCACATTGCCTCTATATGAAGTGAAAGGACCTCGTGCACATTTGGGTTTAGGTTCCTGCCTCAAGAAGCCTCCTGCTGTAAG